GCGTGAAAAGGTACTTTGTAAAATTTTGAATTAAATCATGAATATTTGATATGCAGATTACCTTGAATCATTGAAATTTAAGAACAATAAATATCTGTTACCATTGGCGTATAAATGTCGAAGATTGAAAAAAAAACTCTTGATTCTATGCGGCTTGATAATGCTCAACTTTGTTACATTTGATTTCTTTTGAAATGTTTAATTTTAAATTACAAAACTGATTCTTCAGGAAAAAAAAATATTATTCATGCTGCAGCATTCATTTTCAATGGATTTTACAGGTGGTATTTTAAAGCAAAAATCATGTTCTTGCTAATAGCCAAATTTCCGTTAAGGGACATTGTTTTACAGTTGATAATTCAGTTGACTGAATATAAAACAGACTATGTTCAAGATTTAAAAAACAACTCTGCTAGAGACAGTCAAATTGCTTGAAACTGAAGGAAAATAATAATTTTCTTCTCTTTAAACCACCCAAAAGTTATCAGACGTTTGAGCTGTGTTAGATGCAGCTTACCCAGTTCTTTTTAAAAAAAGTGATTTTAAACTGCGAAATTATCGCATATTTAGGAAATTCAGATAATCTTTTGCAGTGCCGACTTCATTTCCCTTTTTTCAAAATAAAATGTTTTTGTAAACATTTTACGAAAGGTAAAGATTCCCTTATTTACTAGTATTAAGGTGTTGATTCCATGGACATCAATACACTTATTTTTTTTTATCTTCATCTGATCTCTGACATTTACATTTTGACACAATTCTTCCAATGGCCCCTCAGCTCAGTGGAGATTTATCTCAAGGGGGATTTAGAAAAATAATAAACCGAATTATTGATATATCTATATATATGAGCACTTTGCAATGTACACGAATGTTTAATGGCTCGAAAACATGGACCAAAATTATTATTACTAATAGTTAACATATAAAAGTGCACTCAATCGTAATGTTTAAACAGTAAATATTGTGGGTTGAAATTATTTTTTATCATTTCATCTTGGCAGTGCACTTTATGACAAAATTTGCTGCAGTCACTAATTGGTTAGCCAGCGACTCCTGAGAGATATTGTTTGATTTTGTCCCTCTTTTGGTGTGAATGAATACGTTAGTTTCGACCCCTTTTCATTACATGCAATTATTTTCTTTGTTCAGTCACGAAATTCTATTTTCATATTTGTATATGAAGTAGTAAATAGTTCAGTGACTTTATTTTCCATTAATGTAGATACTGTAAGGTTTCTTGTAATTATGTGTCAGCGTCCGATTTCTATTCTATTCAGAGTCTTTTTGTTTGGCAATAAACATGTATCATGTCTTGCGCTATCGAAGTCATTGGACAATTAATTTGTACAGGATAGTCATAAGTAAGAAGTATATGCCACAACATGCAGACATTCATTAAAATTGGTAAATTTGTGATTTTGTCTGTGTTAATAAAATTTTCATACAAGTATGGATTGCTTCGCGGCCATCAACCTTGATTAAACAAAACTTGACCATAGTAAATTGATACATTACTATCTATAATCATGAAAATTGTATGAATTGTGGATACCATGAAGTCTCTCCAAACAATTTGTCGTCCGTAGATTAACCCTTCCCTTTAAAACTACTGTACAAAAATTGCTAGTTCATCACATTAGTTGGATGATTTTCCTTTGATGGACAAGCCCTGTAAACATCAATAGAATATTTATTATACACTAGGAGTCGCTTAAAAAGATAAGGGGATATTAAGTTGTATGACATTTTCATTTACCGAAAAAAATAATAAAGTTACAAGACAATGTTAGTTTTAGTAGTTGTTACAGAAAAATTGGTCAAAGCTTTGTTAAGTGCACACAATTCAAGATTTTTGGTTTAATTACTGTAAAAATTTTAAAACTTTTCTTTCTGAAAAAAAAAAAAAAAAAAACAAGCAAATTAGTAAATTTACTTGCAATGGAAAATGTTTTTGTTTTGTTTTGTTTGTTTGTTTTTTTGTTTTCTTTTTTTAATTTTTATTTTATTAACTTAGAAACACATTTCTTTTGGAGGGTTCAAAGTTCATTGAACAACTAGTCACCATAGTAACATTACAAATAATCTTTCAAATAAAAACTTGATGTCCCCATTCCATCACTGAATTTCAATCTATAAACCCTATTGTGTCTGAATTTTCTATCGACCAGCGTCAGTCTTATTGGAGATTCATTTTCGTTTTATTGAGCACTGCATGTCAGCATAATTACACATTTCTGCTGTGTCATGGCAATCAATATAGACAGCTGTGAAATTATGCAAAATGAAAGCATATCTCAGAATAATTTTAATACTTGAACAGTATAGTACACTCACAATAGTTAACATTCTAATGATTATAGCTGAATATAAATACATAAATTAGCTTAGCTTCCAGAAAAGGGAGACAATACTTATCTGTTATCTTGATCATCAAGCCCAAACACTATCGCTCCTGTACGGTTTAGTGGATTAAATAGAATAATATCATGATCTTGAAAGTACCAGCATTTTTATTTCTTTAAACACGTAAACCATAAGTGTATAAGAATGAGGTAAATGCCCGATGTTTACCGATTGGCAGTCGTTGTGCTCCATGCATTATGTATACATGGCCCAAACTAACTGCATCTCTTCATGTCAAACTTACTTTGATCTTACAGACCGCGCTATAATTCATTATGCAGGGGCAGTAGGAGGTCTGGATCAGATCTGTGTTTGGGACTGAATTCATACTCAAACGAACTTTGACACATATATGTACATGGGGAGATGTGTTAGGAGAGAAAATGGACGAGGCTAAATCATTCTTGTAAAACTGTACGGTAAGCACGCTTGGAAATACAAATTAAAACGATCGATGGTACAAGAGATTAAAAATATGAAACATATGGAATAACTGTGTCCTTTTTAAAAAGTTGAGTTTTTTTTTTATATGACTGATTTCTTGACAGGCTACTATCAACAAATCAAAGGAAACTATTCCCTTTTATTTATTTGGTTGTCTTACATTACTTCTTATCAATATCATGTTGTAAATTTTGAATCTACTATGTGGAGGTAAATGCAAAATTTACAACATAATAATTTGACATGTAAAGAAACTGGGGGGATAAGCCGAGCCATATGCCTACATAACGATCGATAAAAAAATCAATAAATTCATTTTACAAAAATTTCACTTTTTGTTGAATTAATGTAATGCTTATTACCATTTGCATACAATTTTGATAAAGCCTGAATACTGTAAGAGCGAAAATGATTTTGATTAACACAACAAAATGGCATCACGCTCAATTTTCACAAAAACTGACATAAATTGGATGATATAACTACAATTTTTAAATAGAGTGGGTCATCGTACCATTTTTTTGAGTACGATTAATGAAAGGCAATGGAAAGATGTTGCTTTTTACGCTTACAAAAATTTGGTATGAAGACCCACTCTACATAAAAAATTAAGTTAACTTACTTAAATTTTCACGGTGGTCTTAAAAAATTCTAAGTCCAAATACGCTTGCTAAATATAGAGAACTGTATGCTATTTAAATGGGCACGAATGTGTGACTCCGTGGTCTAGTGGTTAGTGAGGAGCTCTTTAAAGGGACGTTTATTGAGGAAAGTGTTCGAGTCATGCTCTGATTTTTTTTTCTTTTTTTTTCTTTTTGGTTTTAATTTTGTTTTACTTTATAAAAAATGTCTATAGGAATAACAAATTTTTCACTGGAAATAAAATATATGTATGTATTAATGAACTCATTTACAGTAATTCATTTAAAATGCCGGATAAAAATTATAATATATATTTGAATACTTTTATTCCCGTTTTTTATTTATTTTTACTACAAGCGCTTCTAGATCACCACTATCATTATATACAACGTTAACATTTTTATAATATATGTATCTCCACAATAAGTGTTAACACTCAATATGCAGATTAAATAATAGAAGTCCCTACCCATATTAGACACTTGTGACAGTAAATGAAAGTCAACTGCTTAGCTTGTTTAGAATATAAATATCATTTTGAAAACTACTGTAAACATTAAAATGCTTAACTAAATTCGAGCAGTTGAGAGATTTTCTCCAATAAATGTTCTTTCATATCCGAAAAATGGGCATGGGCACATGGATCGTCTTATCCCCCCAGGTTCTTTTGCATTTACCTCCACAAAGTAAATTCGAAATTTACAACATATATCAATCTTATCTTAAAGGATCATCAAGATACTTTTATGGTTCATAAAAATATATTCCACTTTATAGATTTCGAGTGAGTAGTAGGGTAAAACGACTTCCAAAGATGAGTCCATTCAAAGCAAAATCAAACGATTTACATCCTGGACTTTCTGCTTTGATTAAAGCGTCTTTCATTACATCGACGCAATCCCATAAACTCTTGCCAGCTCAAGGTTATGTGTATAAAAAATTTCGAGGACAATAACCATTAGCGTAATGTTTCAAAATGATGAATGGGTGTGTTGCAATATTTCTTGGACCTCCACTGATCAAATAATTATTTTGCAGGAAGTGCAATTTCGCATGGGAGGCCAATTAGCAGTGGGATGGTAATAGCTACCCCATAACAATTAGGTTTTTTCTGGAAACTGCATTCACTAGAATTGCATATTATTCAGTGCATTTCAAATATTTGTAAACAACCGGGGTGTGATGCAGGTGTCTACTTTAGGACCCAATTTGTATGTCACATACCTTCAAAGAACTGTCAATATAAATTATATTCATCCGATCCTTAGGACTTCTAGTTAACTCATTATCAGTGAAGAGAATTAATGGTGTCTTGTATCTTTCATATGTATGTCTTCAGTATTGTGTACTTGTTATTGATCCCATTATGTTGCTTATCGTTGTAAAGTTTATTATCGTCATTTTATTATATGGAGTTCACTTAAAAGAGGTGCAATGTTATTCATACACTACATTCTTGAAAACTGTTGCTTCCTTGCAAGTTGTTTACGAAAATCTTTATTTTACAGGTGCAGCAGGAAAATCAATTGACGGAATGATTGAGTAGTCTTAAAATTAACTATCATCGGACAAACCTCTGTGACATTGTATTAAGAATTGATGTTGGCTGTTTTAAACTTTACCAGAAAGGATGAGCAAAATATGCCATTCATCAACATGGACGTGAATGTGTCTATGAATAGTGTATACGAGAATCAGTCAAAGGATCTACCGGAAACTAATCATCAGGACACCGTATTCATCATCCGTCGTTATGCGCTTCCTTTGATCTGTTTCTTAGGAATTCTTGGAAATTCTTTGTCGGCAAAAGCATTCCTCGGACCTGGTCTGAAGCATGCGTCATGCAGTTTGTATCTAGCCGTCCGATGCATAGCTGATAATGGCTTTATATTGACACTATTCACCGCTTGGTTGGACTTTGTTCACGTTCGAGTATTCCACACGGATGCGATTTGTCAAATTGTTGTGTTTCTTTCCTATCTCTGCAGCTTTATGTCCGTTTGGTGTGTTGTCTTTGTAACAATTGAGAATTACGTCCGAATTTGCCATCATACTCATGTTAATCGTTTCTGTAACATTAAAGTAGCCCGTTATGCATTGCTCACATGTTTTCTTATTGCACTCCTTCTCTACAACTTTTCTCTTTGGGGGACACAAGTGCAACAGCATGGCGACCAAAAATATTGTCTTACAAAACCAATATTTATTAAGCTGGAGGAAGTTATCACATACATCGACACTGCATTAACCTTAGTCATTCCATTGCTCATTATTCTCGTTTTAATGCTCCTTATCATAATAAGCTCAGTTGATGCTCATAAGCGACAGATTCGATTAACCTCGACTTCAGCTCAAAACAACAACAATGAGTCGAGACGAAGAGTCCTTCCTCATTCCAGAGTAACAAGGTTGTTGTCATCGGTATCTATCATGTTTCTAATTTTACACACACCTTTACACGTGATCAGAATCAAAGTGTTATTCGAACACGTGCTTCGGGGAAATGGAAATCAAACCTCTGGAAGTGACATGGATCGCACACTTCAACAGATTTTCGTCACGATGTACTACTTGAATTTTTCCGTCAATTGTGTGATCTATCTTGTCTGTGGTGAAAATTTTCGAAAAGTATTTCTTGAATCTTTTTGTTGGTTCTGCAAATTTCGGAATACAGAACTTGAAGTGGAAGCAGAAAGATTTTCAAATGTAGGAATGACGTCCTCGCTTATTATGGAAAAAGACGAGGAAACAGCCATTCAGTAAAATTGTTGTAATTGAAAACATGCTTCTGTGATATTACACCGTATTTCTTTATACGTTCACGTACTCATGTTAAAATGCATGATATTGTATTTATTTTTCACGTTCCTTGTTAAAAGTATTTATTGACTATCAAAAGAAATATATTAATAAAATTGAATTAACACATTTGTATTGATTGTTACGTGTTTTGTACCGAAATACCAAAGATAGGATATATAATAACGTTGGTTTTTTTTTCTCCGGCTGAAATCCTTTGAAGCATTATACAGGTAACCCTATTCGTAAAAGAAATTAGAACAAAATATTGTATTGACAACATTGCAATTTATTGCAATCGACACTTGCTGAACATCTAATGCAAAAAATTACCTAGTAGAAGAAAAAAAAATTAAGGTTTATCAGGTTAAATCTTGATCTCTCGATATCAACAACAGCTTCTGTGGTCAAATTCACAGTTCTGAGTTACTTAGTCATACTGTTTTGATTTTTAAATGTAAGGTAACATTTTTAGTTGATTTTAGCAACTTCTGGCTTTGTTGTTAAAACATAAATACATATATTATCAAGCATATCCACTAAATGTCCATACCTTCAAATAGAATTTAAAAGTATCAACTAAATAAATGATATTGATACGAACCATTAATAGTGTATTAGATAGACAATTCTAAAATTAAATTTGATAAGAAATTAATTTAAATGGTAATTTAATGATAACTACTGCTATGAAACGTTTTATTTTAAATAATTTATGGCAAGGTATTATAAATTGTGACTCATACACATCATTTCAATCCTTTCTCGATTCCACTTGTCCTTTAAGTTCTCATTTAAAGTGATGTTGTAGATAAGAGACCTATTGTCAGCCAGACAGGCTCCAGAAACTACAATTTATCACCAGTTAAACGCATATTATAGGGTTTGATATTATTTTCTTACTTTGTACTAGATAGAATAATTTAACAGAAAGTAATCTTTCAAAAGCATGATTACATTTTAAAAAGTCCATAAAATTCTAAGAATCAAAATTACTTTAAATACCCTCTGAAACCATAAATGTATTTGGATGATGAAAATAATGATCCATTTATTTCTATGTCATTATCTAAATTGTTGATGTTTGTTTGAAAAATCGTCTGACATAGAATATGCCACTGTATACACAATCCTATAAACCCAAAGGTATATTTAGTTGTTTTCGTTTACTTTTTAAATTAAAGCTATTGGAAATAATTCATTCTCCTGTCAACATTGCTTTCAATACCATGCACGAATAGTCAACGACATATACCTGTAAAAACATGCAGGGGTAGCAGGTTTTTGTAGATTTTTTCAGCAAGACTTCAACCGTTGCACATATATTTACACTCAATGAATATTTTCTCCTTAACTTCTCAAGAAAACTCTTGCCGTTATCAATCTAATAACATTAAACTAGTTAGAACCTGTTTTTAAAGCCAGCTCCTTGAAAGATTTCATAGAAAATTTGGCTCTTCCATCAATGTAACATATGGACCAAAAATACTATATATTATGCACTTTCACCCATTTTATACAAATAATTTATACAGATTTAATATAAAAAGCAAAATTTTCTTCTTTGTTAATACAGTAATACATAGATGACGATTGCAATCATTACAGAAAAAAAATACATACATTATGCGGATCATCATTTATTCTGCAATGTCGTAACTGCAACCTGTATAAACAAACATAGAAAACTTTTTATTTATTAAATAAAAGAGCAAAAAATATATATAATTTTTAAAACTATTCATATAAATTTCCTGAAAGTAAGATATTTTGTTATCGATCGTACATTACATATTAGATGGATATCTTCGAAATAGTTCGTTAAACTTTAACACTTCTATATATTTAGAATTACTTATAACTTTAGTTTAAAAAAACGGATCTAAACCCATAATATAGAATTAAGTCAATTATTGATAATGATTTAGGTAACAGCAATACGATTTTCAGTAGAAAAAAGAGAAAATATTCAGTTGAATTTGCTTGGTCTTGAATTCAATGTTGATCGAGTGATTTTTTTTTCCAATAGATAAAAATTGTAAATATTCGTGTAAGAAATAATCTTCCAGATATTCTGAGTTCATGGTTGTATATAAACATTAAAAATAGTAACTCATACAAATTACCGCTTGATCCAATGTGTATAAATGCCTTTTTAAGCAGCTATTCCTTAGATAGATCCATTCTTAAATCTTACTGGTGGGTGAGAATTTACATTGTATCTTGTACCGTCTTGGGAAGCATGCTATAACATTTATTATTCATCTGTTATTTCCTTTACATCCTAGATCAATTATTATAGTTTGTATGCAATGATTTTTGCGTCGTATCCTATTGCCAATAAAATATATGGAGATAACTAACAGTATTCAAGCGCAAAAGTCCATTAAACCATACAAATTTTGAAGCAGAGCAAACACGGACCTCTAAAACATCAGAGGTGGGATCAGGTGCCATTGAGGAGTGAACATCCCCTGTCGACCGGTCACACACACCGTGTGCTCCTTGTCATGATCGGGAAATAACGGAAAAATCCGTCGACAATTCAGTGTGTAAATAATGGCCTAACAATTAGTATGAAAAACGTCAGTCAGCATTTGACTCAATGATAAATTGTATATGTTGACAAGGTCATTGTATACCATAGAACTTACAAAATGACGACTTTAAACGAGACTGCTGATATTCTTGTTTCATCAACTTGTTTGCCAATAACTTACCTCGTATTAGAAATTGTTCATACGTAGAGCATGCTCTTGCGTATCGAATCAACTGAGAGATATAAACCCCGTATGCAGGTGATGAAGGTATATTGCTGCATAAGTAAGCGAAGTTGACGATTGAAACGTTAGAGTCATCACGTTTATCATAAAGCTTTACAAGCATTACACAAAAAACACTTCTTTCCTTCGTTTTGAATCGTAAAATCTACTAGTAGTTTTAATTCTTATATCTTTAGTAAACTGCATACAATTTCAAAATACACTTTTTTTTTTAAATTTTAAGTGCTCAAGTTAAAAGCAGTAAACGAACAAACTTCATGTGGTTTTCTTCAGACATTCTAAATATAAAGTGTAAACAAATCAACTGGTTGAATGCACAGTAAGCAGATCCAATTTTATTTTGAGTTGAGACAATTTTTCACAGTGTAACATGAAAAAGTTGTAAAACGAACGAAAATTGACATGAAAATTGAACCCAATTGACTTAAGCTTTTCCTTTATTGATGTGCCTTGTAAAAGTAATATAATTTTTATCTCAGTTTTAAGCTCATTTTCCTTCCTTTCATTTCAGGGCTACAGTAACATTACAACTAAACAACACGCAAATCATGCTTTTTCGGTATGCTCTTTATGTTCATAGATTGTGCAAGAATAATCTCTATCCCTAATTTTATAGTCGATTTTGTGTCCTATACAGTCCTTTTTTAATCCTTTGGTAGACATTTTGTCTACTCGAGCTGAGATACATATGCTGGAATAAAGGGAAAAAGTCCACGCAGGAATTTCTTAAGGTGCCCTTCCTGCACTGTAAAACAATGCAAGTCACCACCAGACCTCCGAATCAAAAGATCAATTTGTCCCTTTAAATATACTTGCAATCATGATAATAAATTTCCTGAAAGTCCATGTTTCCTAATTCTTTTCAAGCACGAATAAAGTTTCGGATGTGCTAGAGTTCTTTTTTTTTTTAATTTCAATGCCAAAAAAAAAAAAAAAAAAAAAAAAAATCAACATATTTCATGAGTTCGAAGTTGATTACTAAAAGAAAGACAACTTCATCATACTCAATTGAACAACTATAACAAAAATGTTTTGTTTTTACATGTTGTTTTATTATTGTTTTATCTTGTTTTTATCATATTTTCGGCAAGGTATTATAAATTGTGACTCATGCACATCATTCCACATTCTTTCTCGACTCTGTTCGTCCTTTAAGCTCTCATTTAAAGCGATGTTATAGACACATGTATGAGACTTATCGTCAGCTAGAAAGGATCTACAAACTACAATTTATCACCAGTTAAACGCATATTATAGGGTTGATATTTTTCTCACTTTGTACTGGAAAGAATAATTTTTCAGAAAGTAATCTTTCAGAATCGCGATTAGATTTTAAAAAGTTCATAAAATTGCTATATATTTAAAGGAATAAATATCTTCTGCAACCATAAATGTATCTGGATGACGAAAAATAATTATCCATTTATTTCTCTGTCATTATCTAAATTGGTTGAAGCTTCTTTTGAAAGATCGTCTGACATAGCATATCCCAATGTATACACAATCCCACTTTTTTTAAAAACAATTAAAGCTATACTGGAAATAATTCAATCTCCTTTCAATATTGCTTGTACTAACAGTCAACAAAATATACCTATATAAAGTCAGGCAGGGGTACATGAAGCAGGTTTTCATAGATTTTTTTCAGCAAGACTTCAGCCGTCGCATATAACCCCGTACATTTACTCTCAGTGAATATTTTCTCATTATCAATCTATTAAAATTTAACTATTTAGAACCGGTTTTAAAGCAATCCCTTTGAAAGATTTTCTAAGAAATGGGCTCTTCCACCAATGTAGTGTATGGACAAATAATACCATATTTTATGCACTTTCACCACACTTTATACAAATACTTTATACAGATATAAATACATGTATAAATAAAATATGCCCCTCTTTGTTCAAACAATAAAACAGAGATAACGGTTGCAATCATTGCAAAAAAAAATACATACATTATGCGGATCATGCAGTATTTTTTTTCCACAATGTCGCAACCGTTACCTGCTTTAACAAAAATGGAAGCCATTTTATTGTTTAAACAAGCATTCTGAGAGTATTGCATTAGCAATACTAGTCCCCTACCGGCAAGTGTAATCTGGTTCCCGTTAAAAATTGAAAATGCCATAATTCCGTCAAAAATCAATAAAGCGGAACGAAATTCAAACTTGATCTGTAACTAATCAATGTAAAGTCACATACCAAAAGTCAGCTCAATATCTGCAACCGTTTAGAAAAAAAATGCGGAAACCCTGAAAAATTGAAAAGGTCGTAATTCCGTCAGAAATCATTGAAGCGGAACGAAATGCAAACTTGATCTGTAACTCATCAAAATACACTCACATACCAAAAATCAGCTCAATATCTACAAGCGTTTAGAAAAAAAGTGCGGAAAACCAAGTGGGACAGACTGACAGACAGAGGGACAGCTAGACAGACGGACAGACAGACAGACAGACAGCTAGACGGACAGACTCAGAGGAAACCTATAGTCCCCTCCGGTTTCACCAGTAGGGGACAAATAACACATCAACAGTTTGCGTATCACGTCATCATACAGAAAAACAAGTACACATAATCCTTTGAAAGACATATCATTTCATTGTACATAGATTTGTAAATAAATAAAATGTTCAGGTATCACATTTTTAGAAATATGATTACTTCTGAATAAGAAAATAAATGATACCAGGATAACTCATTAAAGCTCGAGAGCTTATTTCCAATGGGGTCCTATTCTAAATAACACAAGCATTCTGAGAGTATTGCATTAGCAATACTAGTCCCCTACCGGCAAGTGTAATCTGGTTCCCGTTAAGAATTGAAAATGCCATAATTCCGACAAAAATCAATGAAGCGGGACGAAATGCAAACTTGATCTATAACTAATCAATGTAAAGTCACATACCAAAGATCAGCTCAATATCTGCAAGCGTTTAGAAGAAAATTGCGGAAAACCCCTAAAAATTGAAAAGACCGTAATTCCGTCAAAAATCAATGAAGCGGAACGAAATACAAACTTGATCTGTAACTCATCAAGATATACTCACATACCAAAAATCAGCTTAATATCTGCAAGCGTTTAGGAAAACCAAGTGGGACAGACTGACAGACAGACAGAGGGACAGACGGACAGACAGACAGACAGACAGACGGACGGACAGACTCAGAGGAAACCTATAGTCCCCTCCGGTTTCACCGGTAGGGGACTAATAAGCGATGTAATGTATCATCATTAAAGCGCTTTGTATTGCGTAAGCATCAAACATGGATTTAAGTATGTCAATATTGATGACATCAATACAATAATAAAATATGTTTTTTAAACAAGTATTAATATACCACACTTTCATGTTCTAAAATGTCCTTTTGTAAGATGAAACTATTTATAAACTTGTTTCTTAAAAGTAATCTTGCCATTGATACATATAATAGAAGATGGGAAAAAATCCTTTCTTTAATGTCATTATAATAAAAAGTGTCTGCCTGACATGCCTTCACGAGGTATTAAAAAAATCCTCGTCAGAGGATGCCCTCATGTTGCGTGAAGACACAGAGGACGCATGCTATAACATTTATTATACATCTATTATTTCCTTTACATCTCATATCAATTATAGTTTATAATAATATATTGCAATGATTTTCGCGTCGTATCCTATTGCCAAGCATTACACAAGTAACACTTCACTCCTTCATTTTGAATCTTAAAATATACTACTAGTTTTAATTCTTATTTCTTTAGTAAACTGCATACTATTTCAAAATGTACATTTTGTAAATATTTACATCTTATTTTAAGTGCTCAAGTTAAAAAGCAGTAAACTTACAAATTTCATGTGGTTTTCTTCAGACATTCTAAATATAAAGTGTAAAAAAAAAATCATTAGGTTGCATGAAAAGTATTAAAATGAACTTGTCAAGTATACAAGCAGGTAATATTTTATGTAGAGTTGAGACACTTTTTCAGTCTAACATGAAAAAGTTGTAAAACGAACGAAAATTGACATGAAAATTGAACCCAATTGACTTAATTTTCCTTTATGGATGTTCCTGTATAGTAAAAGTAATGTATTTTTCATCTCAGTTTCAAGCCCATTTACCTTCCTTTGATAAGGCTAACGCTACAACTAAACAACACGCAAAAAATGCTTTTCCTGCATGCTCTTAATGTTCATAGATTGCGCAAGAATAATCTCTATCCCTAATTTTATAGTCGATATTGTGTCCTATACAGTCATCTTTTAATCCCTTGGTAGACATTTTGTCTACTGGTGCCGAGATAAGTATGCTGCAAAAAATGAAAAAAAAAATCCTCAGAGGAATATCTTAAAGTGCCCTTGATGTACTGTAAAACAATGCAAGTCACCAGACTTCCAAATCAGAGGATCAGTTGTCCCTTTAAGTACACTTGCAATCATGATTAAATATATCCTAAAAGTCCATATTTCCTAATTCTTTTCGGATGTTTTAGAGTTAATTTTATTTTTTGAATTTCAAACTAAAAAAAAATGTTCACAGTATTTCATGATTTCTAAGTTGATTTCAAAAGAGAAATACAACTTTATCATATTCATGCATCTGAAATACAAGAACTGCTACAAAAGTTTCGTAAGGTTGTTTTGTTTATTCATTTTGAATCATGAATAATTGTATAATATCGTTCCGTTTTAGTGGTCTTTCCTCAGAACAAAGAACCAGAAATATGCACATGCGCATAACGCATTCTTCTTCCTGTGTATGTTCGCAAATTTAAAATGGTACAATGTTTCCGATTCTGATGTCCAGGAATTTACGGTTCACAGATAGTTTCAGTAAAAAAAATCAAGAAAAAGAAAATATCTGTGAATATTTTGATAAAACAACATCAATAACACGTTTTTTTAATATTGTCATGGTTTCTAAAATTTATTTGCATAATATCTGTGCAAATCAAAAAATCAAATTACAGTCCCTAATTTTGAATTTACCGGGTGAGTGTGAATAAAAAATTTAGAATATGACGTTTGTCATGTTCTAAATTTTGTATTTATTTTCCACCCGTTAAATTCAAAATTTAGAACATGACATCATGATCACCACATTTAGTTTCTCTATACGCTGAAGTTTGCAAGAGGATCTGCACATAGATTCTTTGACAAAGAACATCATTCAGATATGAGCAAGGATCATGAATATGGTTTTCAAATAATTTATGCCATAGAAAATGAAATGCTTTTCAGCAGAAATTAAAAGCTTGCAGATATGGGGGGGGGGGGGGGGGGTTAAGTTATTTGTCTTGCTAATATGAAAATAGAAAATTTGTGATTCATGAATAACAACAAAGCCTTAAGCCATTTTTCATCGCTGATACTTGATATAAAACTTGTTTTCACTGCATGAAAATTTGGCTTTACAAAACAAGTAAAGATAATGTAAATTTATTATTTACAATGCCTTTAATTGGCTTTTCTGAAAAAAGTCAAAGTTGGAAAAGGTAACCTTTACATTGACTTTACATGCACTTAAATATGATGTAATGTCCCACTTTTTCTTGACTTTACAAAAAAGTAAAGTTAATATTTACAAACATTAAACACAGTATTTGGGGTTCATTAAAGCTGATAATTACAAATCTTAAATTCAATTAAATACCATCTTTAATAGCCACAAAAGTTAATAATTACTTTTTCCATTCTTCTGAATAAAGCTTGTGCATATAATAAATAAGCTTTTCCTTCCAAATTGAAACTGCAAAAGAAGTCTGGACATCATACTTAATATACAAAGTAACAACAGATTGACTTAAACTTTCTTTATTACTATACCAAACATTTTTATACAAACATATAATCAAAAACATCAAATTTCTTGACAGTATCTGTTGTTCATAGTCTATCCTGCAAATCCAATACACATAAATAAGTATCCAGGACAGAGTACACTTCACCAAAATCCTTTTCAAACATGTCATTTTGTTTTGTATAAAGAACCAATTGTTCATCCTTGAATTTAAAGATTTGAATTGACATGAAACTGTGCTCTGCTTTCTTGTTACTGAACATGCATTTCTGTGGAAATCAACAACTGTCCAAATATATATTTTGTCACATCTTCCTTTTCAGAGTCCAAAACTTTTATTCTCATGCAGGCAGTCTTCTATCGTTTTCCTTCAAAGAAAAAAAAAATATATATATATTTTCAGTGACATGAATATGAATATTTTCATAGGCATCTGTGTTATAAATTCAAATAAACTGTGATATCAGTATTCACAGTATCATGACTAATGAAAATTGAAACAAGATGCAACCATATTAATAAATAAAAATTTCATACATGACCTTTAACCTCAAAAAGAAAATATTTTGAACCATTAATGTCAGTCTTTATTTTTACCAAAAAAATGATGCTAATCTTATTAAATAAGACAGATACAAACAGATGAACATGTTGTTATTAACTTATTTTATAATATAAATGGACTGGGCCACTAGCCCTTATCTTACCCCTAAGATTAAAATTTAATAACTCTGTAATTTCTTTGTTTATCATTACCTAATTTTTCTTTTGAAAGGATTATTTACAAAATATACTAATGTAGGAGTAATATAAGATTTCTCGTGACCTTCTGTAGCTAAGATACTTTTGCAGAATTGGAAAATGTTTGTCTTACTTGCAAGATAATTTGTGAAAAAGTACTGGCATCAGTATCTATGGATAATTACTGAACACATATAATTAACTCCATTTTCCTTCTTAGTAATCAGGTAACAAAAGGACCAATAGTTGCTGCTTATCAAGCTATAGTATGATACTCTAGTTATGGTTTAGGATATATGTACCTTTCTCCCAGTAGCATGTTGCTGCTCATGAATTATTTCCTGATCTTGGAATTCTAAAAGTTGACAGATCCCTCATTTTGAAGATAACATGCTAAAATGGAATTCATACTTTGATTAACATTTCATACCTCTGGATAAATATAGTCAATGTTTTCATAAATACTTTGGAGTTTGAAGCATACCAAAGAATGATTTTAAAAATACACAATGCAATCACAGTTAATAGTTATGAATTGCCAAACACCCTTATGTTTGTTTTCTTCACAATTAAAGAATACTTTAGGTCTAAGCAATACTTGCCATCTATAAAATTAAACTATTGAACCTTTCTCAAGCGTTTCTTCTTCTTGAAAGATCTGTCAATAAGGTGTTAACTCTCTCACAGTAAGCTGAGTAGATGGAGCCTGGAAAAAGTAGTAACACATTTTTTGAAAACAGAAATGTATAATTATACTGACTCCCGAACAAGTCAAGCAATTGATAATGTAAATAATTGTTTAAGTAATATTTTAATGATACCATTTATTGATTTTTTTAAAACTAATACGTACAAGTACCATCAAAAAACATTGGTATCCCTTGGTCTGGTAAATCATACATTGTTGTCATCCATGATTTTTTTCCTTCAAGAACCTGCATAATTGATTTCACTGTACCTGTTTCTGAAAAAATGGACATGGTTTAGAATACAAAATAATATCTATAAAATATAACCTAACTTGCCCTCTATTAAGAACATTGCCCCATGGCTTCTATTTTTTTTTCTTCTAGCATTAATGTTCTAAAACTGTGACCTAGAATTGTTTTTTCTTGGTCTTGTTTAACCCATGATCCTTTACAGAAAAAAATGGAACATTATCCCCAATTTATCAAGTTACTTATCTAAAATACATATTTAGCGTAGTTTTTCCTGACTTTCATCAGTTTCAATGTTCCACAATGTATGCTGAAAACAGATGGAAAACGTAAACAAACCTGCACTGCAGTGCATGCCAATTGCCAGCCCGGGAGCTCGAGCAGTTTTCCAAGCAATAACCTCCTTAAATCTACCGGTCGATGAAAAGGTATTAAATCAACTGATCCCTGGTTGCATATTTTCGTCAAAAATACCAGAAAATTCGATGAGACCCGCTCAACTTGATTTGAAATGATTAGCTATTCAACCGAATACACACTACACAGTGCCATATTTGGGTTACTGTTAAAAGTAAATCGTTCGTTTTGTATTCGAGAAGACTTGAATGAAGAGGATTACATAATACTGAGGTAGAAAACATCGGTATAATATGATAATATATATTTCAGAATTTTAAAGTAAAGGCTGTCAAATGAACGGGGCATATTACTGATATTACCTCTAATAAACAAAACCAATAAGCGTATGACTTATTCAGGGCACTTGCAATGTATGGGAACCAGTCTACAAGGCCACAAAATTCCGCCAAGAATGAACAAAGAAATTGCGGGATGTTGTTTACGTGTGTCACTCGACACTGACTGCAAGGTAATGAAAATGTGCTTAATTGTTGTGTATAACTGTTTTCTGTCTTTCAAGATATTGAAACAGTCGTTTAACATTTCAGACGTAACATCTGGGGGGGGGGGGGGGGTCACCTCTTAATAATTTACTGCATCTACTACCACTGTGTATAGTGTCAAGATATAATAAATTAAAATGAAAAAAAATCATTCATTTTTTTTTATAGATTTAGGACAGCTAAATAAAGGGGCGACTATTTTTTGTTTGATGCGGGGGAGGGGGGGGGGGTAAAAATATATTAACCTCAAAAATGTTTAAAAGATATAATCTCATCTCAACTGAAAAAATGATTAATAATCTTTCCTTGTCTGATGCCATTATTTCCTTTACCTCACTGAATTAAGAGTTTCTGGGTCAGTTTATTTCCTTTTGTAGTGGCGATGGGGGGGGGGATCAAACTTTGTTCATTTGAGATAAACATGAATAATATGTCCCTGATTATTAAGGAAATCAAATATTCTATTCATCACTGGCTGGAAAATAATTAATCAGACTTAACAGTCAAAAAATTACCTTTTCATAATTTATCTTTTGTAGAAACAAAGAGTGGAGAGCTAATGCATGGTGCTAAGTATGGAAATGTCTCTTGTGGATTGGTTGTGCCAGAGACAAATGTACATTATTTCTATGTTGGGTAATGTCCTTAAGAATGGAAGTTTTTTTCAATTACAAGGGACATGACTTTTTCATATGTTATCACTGTACAGAGATCAAAATATTTTTAAACATTGTTAGGTACTCACTACATTATTCCATCTTTAGAAAAGTATTTAAAATTATTTTCTCACATTTTTTAAAGAGACCAATATTGTGAAGAGATTTTTTTTATTTTAATCTTGAATTTGGATATTATACAGGTCAGAAGTCTCGGTACACTTTGGGTGAGTGGCAGTTGGGAAGATGGAAGACCTTCAGATAGTTTGAGATGAAGAAGTTTTTTTAAATGATTGAAAGTGATCATCATAGAATCAACTCTATTATGAAGATAAATTACGAGCAAGTCAGGTGAGGAATTGACTTCAATGTGTTATCACATTGTGTAAATGAATCTTCATTATTAAGATCTTTTACATTTCATTTTTATATATGAACTTGCTTTTCTATTATTCTAAACTTCCAAAAATAAAATTAAAGTAGTTAAAGCATGCTACAAACATTTTAAGTATCTTGGCAAGTTTTCAGGGATATTGCAGATGTGCTTTAATTTCAAAAGATAACTAATTTATGCAAACCTGGAAAAGAAATGGATGTTATTATCTATAATTTCGAAGATTATGTTTATTATTAGCACTCCTTTTGTCCAACACCCAAGAAATCTGAGTATCCATCCTACTGTTGAATTAACTGGTGACCAAGAAAAGATGACAGAGAGGGGAATCAAATATGGATGCCATTGTGATCAAACATATACACACAGACTAGAAAATATCTGAAAATTTATAGATGAACATTCAAGCATTTATAATAATGAAAGTTATTCAGCAAGAGAGTTTTTGCACAAGTTTAATTTCAGTAAAATTGTGTATATTGTGCACAGAGGAACTTAGTATGTAACTCATTATGATTATCCATTTCTTTAGAGGATGTATTCGGAGTATATTTAAATAATCATTATCTTGTAGAAAAGAGCACACAAAAATTTTCTCTCTGTGTGAAGCAAGACACAAATGCATACACTCAAGCATTAACCACAACCACTGTTACATATTTTCCAGGGCATGTGAAGTCGAGCACACACAACATCTACCACAACACCAGTTACATATTTTCCAAGGCGTGTGAAGTCGAGCACATACATGAAAATGTGTGAAGCTGGACACATATGCAAAAGCACAAGCATCTACCACAACCAATTACATATTTTCCAAGGCGTGTGAAGTCGAGCACATACATGAAAATGTGTGAAGCTGGACACATATGCAAACATACAAGCATCTACCACAACCAATTACATATTTTCCAAGGCGTGTGAAGTTGAGCACATACATGAAAATGTGTGAAGCTGGACACATATGCAAACATACAACATCTACCACAACACCAGTTACATATCTTCCAAGGCGTGTGAAGTCGAGCACATACATGAAAATGTGTGAAGCTGGACACATATGCCAACACACAAGCATCTACCACAACCAATTACATATTTTCCAAGGCGTGTGAAGTCGAGCACATACATGAAAATGTGTGAAGCTGGACACATATGCCAACACACAAGCATCTACCACAACCAATTACATATTTTCCAAGGCGTGTGAAGTCGAGCACATACATGTACATGAAAATGTGTGAAGCTGGACACAAGCATCTACCACAACCAATTACATATTTTCCAAGGCGTGTGAAGTCGAGCACATACATGAAAATGTGTGAAGCTGGACACATATGCAAACATAACAACATGTACCACAACACCAGTTACATATTTCCAAGGCATGTGAAGTCGAGCACATACATGAAAATGTGTGAAGCTGGACACATACGCAAGCACTCAAGCATCTACCACAACCAGTTACATATTTTCCAAGGCGTGTGAAGATGGACACAATGCAAACATTATCTACCACAGACACAATGCACATATCACATTTAATCCAAAGTATAAAGTCAAGCTCAAACAGGCTCACTGCATGAAGCTGGACACATGCATTTACTTATGCATCTTGCAAAACTACCTCTGAACCTATATTCTAATAGATGTTTAAGCATTTTGTTTCTTTATTTTGTGAATATGTAAATTACACGATTATGCTTACAAGATGTCAACATTATTAACCTGTACATAAATACTCATTAGATAGCCTTTATTAGTTTAAATTGGAAATACTAGTACTTTGCCTGATTTATGTTGTGTAGTTTCTCATCAGTGATCTTGAGTAATAACTGAGTAAGGCATTTTTAGTTCCATTTAAACTGTGAAGTTTTGACACGTGTACATGCACCATAAAGGATGAATAATATTGTATTGTATTTTAACCTTTTTTATTTCATTCTTTGTCATTTTATTGCCTGTTCTAGTAAAAGATGTAATCTTGTAATGTTTGTAACTGTTTTTGGTAGATATTTATAAAGCAGAAATTATAACAGAAAAGGTTTCAATATATCTAAACTAAAAGCAAATAAAAAAGAGCTCTCCATCTATCAGATATCAGCAAATCAGATAACTTAAAGGTTAAGTCATAGGGAATTTTAAAGTTTATTATATCTATATTCTGATATCTGGTACCATTTTTACATTTGTGATTTTCCGTCTACAGTATACAAAAATAGTATAAATTTTTATATTTTGTAGATGACAATCTCTAATACTAAATACAACTGGAAATTGATATAACGCGTGAAAATTTGTGTATTTTTAGTAAGATCGAGTTTAACAAAATGGGGTGGGGGTAACACAATAGACACATCAGATACCTATTTATTGAAAGTCAAAAACCATTTGTTGAAATCTTAAGTACGAGTGTATTAAACAAAAGCCAGTATTCAAGTAAGGATTTTAAAAAGTTTCATTATATATATATATATATATATATATATATATATATATATATATATATATATATATATATATATATATATATATATATATATATATATATATATATATATATAAACTTTAATGCAGCATTAAAGGTGAAAGGTTAGATTTAATTACCTTTTCGTGTAAGTAAAGGTTACCTTTTCACCTTTACTTTTTGTAAAGTTAATACAAAGATGACCTTGCTTTTTGGAGCACCTTTAATGAGATTTACTTTGCAAGTAAAGTTTTGTAAAGGTGTTTTTTCAAGCAGTGTTTATTAATGAATGGAGTAATTCCTAGCGTTAACATCATATATAATTTCGGATTTTTTTTTTTTTAAATCATATAGTGAAGGGAATTTTACTGATGGCTAAAACAAAATTATAGATCAAAACAACTTTCCTACAGCCCAAATTTTCTTTGACACTATGAAGAAACAGAAATCAGCATTTTTTACTTGAAGTGCCTACATGTAAAAGTTTACTATCTAAACAAGTTGTGTTACTGTAAAAAGTGACATCCTCTTGAAAAAAGGTATGTACATGTAATTCATTTTTTTTTCACTTTCACGCCGTTTAAAATAAAGCACTTTTTTTTTAATTTAAGCAAAATACACGTATTCAATTAAACAGGGCCCCAATTTGCAAAGGCACTCGCGGTTAAGACCAAAATAATCAACTTCAAAAAATTATTCTATTCTTTACATTGATTTCATCGTGATTTTGATGAGAATAAGAATTCGTTTACATAATTTTATATAAGTTTAATCTCACAAAATTTTTAAGTTGGTAATATTTAAAAACTATGCAACATTTTTAGTCTTAGCATAAAAGGACCTAGGTTATAATTTACAATATAAATTGATATTCTTATACTTATTATTGATAATGTTGTTCATTACTGAATCGCAAAGTAGACTATATATAAACATTGAAGTGTGTTATTTTATTTTAATATTTAATGAAAGGTTTTTATAACATAGTCTTAATTTGGATTAGTTTATTGTGTTACTATAAATACATGTAGTTCGAATGTCCTCTCATTTCACATACTGGAGTATGCTGATCGTCTTCTGTCCGATATTCTATATATATCTGCATGACCTTGTTGAAAAGTTATAGTCCACATTCAGTCATCATTAAGTTGTAGCAAATTACGATGACAAAGAAACAAAACTGTCGGCCTGATTAGATTTTGTTTAATTTAATGATTTTTATTACGAGTAAAATGAGATCAACGTTGTGTCGTCCTTTTTCTTCAAACATCTACATAGACATTTAAGGACTTAACATTGGAACTCACTAGATTCTGTGAGCTCAATGTCCGTAGAACATGCAGCCATAATCCCTTTCCCACGTGAAATGTCAAGAAATTCCGTCTTTTAATCCTAGATAAGACAATTCGTTGACTAGAGATAAGAATGATGGGAAAGAAAAATTTAATTTCTTTCTGATGCTCTAGCTGTACTGAATGAATGAAATCTTAAAAAAAATGAAAACAATTCAATCTTCTTTTCAGATTTTCATCAATATTTGTATGCGATCGCTCCCTTAAAAACATTATAGAATTATTGATATGTTTAAAGTTACAGTGCTAAATTTTGAAGATTTTCAGAAAGTCACAGAACAAACAAAAATGGTACTCATTTACTTTTTTTTTTAATTCTTGCCTTAGAGGAGAGGTGCTTCTTTTTATATCCTCCGCTACACCCCAATTTTCAGGAACCTGGTGACGGTTCTGATTTCATCAAACTAAATATGTTGCTGAGGAAATTGTGAGCCACGGTATTTTTGCCACCAATTTCTATCAACATATACAATTTAAGCTTGAACAAAGTTAATTCGACAGAGTATGTCACATTCCAGTAAAACACAACTATCATGGTGCGTGGTCCTAAACACAGGCACTTTGGGTATGTTAACAATAATGTTACTCTTTTGTTTCAATCAGCTGTTTTAAATATATCGTTTTCGACTGATACATTATGTATCAGTCGAAAACGATATATTTAAAAACAGCTGATAGAAACAAAAGAGTTACATTATTGATAACATTTAGTGCATATTAGAATACAAAAATAGGAAAAAGGTGACTCGACCCCAGATTTAAAAAGAAAAAAAAAATGGAAAAAGGGGGGGGGGTCCATACCCCAAGTGCCTGTGGTCCTAAACCGACCATGTACTCACCTAGCTCCTGAGTTCAAATTCAGTTGTAACCCAGACAATTATAACTTGAATTATATACTTTACATGGCCGTAGGAACTGGATGCGGGGCACGGGGGGGGGGGGGTGCCCCCAATAATTTTGCCGATATATAGATTACTATAGAAAACAGAGATACTATATGCTTGTGCTCCCTCAATAAAAACCTTTTTACCTTTTTTTTTTTTGTTTTGTTTTTGTTTTTGTTTTTGTTTTTTTTTTTTTTTGCTTGTCAAGAAATTTTTGGTAGTTGATAGTGCCCCCCTCAACTGAAAATGTATGGCTGTGCCCCGGCCCCCAAACTGAAATTGCTTCCTACGGGCCTGCTTTATTACTTATATCGCATGGCCTTAGGAACCGGGGATGGGGGATAGGGGGCGGTCTGTGCCCCAAATTATTTTGTCGATACATAGTATACTATGGAGATCAAAGCTAATTTATGGATGTCACATCCCACCCCCACTCCTTCAATAACGTTCTTTTTTTTTCCTTGTCAAGGAATTTTTGCTTGGTAGTGCCCAGCCCACCCAAACTAAAAATTGTTAGTTTGTGCCCCCCCCCCCCCCCAAATGAAATTGCTTCCGATGGCCTGTTTCGGACTCCAAAATAAATAAAAATTCAAATAATGAAAGATATCTTTAATCAAATAATATAATACAGTAAAACTCTCCATGTTACTAAAGCGAACATATGCTTTTAATGAATTCACACTTGTTTAATCAGCAATTAAAGTGATTTTCATTCCCTCTCGTTTCAAATCATGCTTGTATAATAAAAGAATCGGATATAACTGATGAAGAATCAAAATTATTCGTCCCTGGCACTTCGCTATGAACCTGTTTTAATGTACATGTATAATGTTTTAATGCATAACAAATATCACAAACAGACAGACAGACAGACGCCGTCTAAAGTGATCCCTAGGTGTCGCTCTGTCAGGTGTAGTAGTGTGGATACACGACCAACTGTTACACAGGCAACACAGTAAACGGAAAAATCCGAAACTACAATGGCACAAAGTAATTTCTAGAAGATCGTAAAATTTTACTTAAAAATCATTTTGTTCCCGCGAACTTTATTTTTACGTGAAAATTTTACGCGAGGTCTGCTCGAGAAAATTTCATTCTCGTGTATATTTTTAATAGTATGTTTTATACTCAACAATATCCAGAATTCGTGAAAATTGCCTCGCTTATAAATAACAAATATCTATCTCGAGAAAATAAGGCGTCGCGAAAATTCTATGCTCTACACTACAGCTTATTTAGCTGGGGATTTATTAAGAATGACTGAATTCAAACTAGATGAAGATTGTTTAATTTTCTCAAGTACTACATTGTGCAATATTGGGAATTAATTGTGAATTTCTAAGCAGAAAGAGATACTGATACTTCTTAGTGCAGAAAAGAGAATCTATCTTAGAGGAGGGGGAGGAAAATTTGATAGAAAGTCGAGCTGCAGAGAAAATTTGCCCCGTGTGTGGGTTTTTTTTTCTTAATTATTTTTACTCAGAATTATGTACCAATTTCCCTAATCTTGATTTTATTGAGAAGCTTATATGGCTATTTTCAAATGAAAATGGGTCAATCTTAAGAATACTAAGTCAATTCATATCAAAACACTGTATATGATTTTTAAACAATATTACTGTATATTGTTACATTTTGTTGATTATAATTGTGCTC